TAATAGGGGCAAATCACAGGACCTGGTGATGACACCAACGAGCTGGGATACAGAGTTTTATCAGTGAAGTCAGAAAAAAATTCCCAGCTGTGATAATAGAATGGTGTTTCCGTTTTAATTTTCCTGGGCAGTTTAAATTAACAGGGTCCAGGATTAGAGAGATTGGTTGTAGAATAAGTATGAAATTAAAGAATTAGCGTTATCTTAAGTTTGGTTTTCCCTAGGTATAGCCTGTTTGTACATAAAGTATTCATAAGCATGTGATTAGTATGTTACAATATTAGGTATAATTGCTTATTTTTAGGCTGTAAGACATGTTGAGAGCAATTGTATAAAATAGCATTTGACCTTTGGACTTAAAGGAATTTATGGTTAAATTAGTACTTGGTGGCCTCTCAAATTAATAATCTCAAATATTATTGACTAGTTCCATCATTAGCTTGTTTTTATTTGCTTGGGATATGGGAAAATAAGGTGCTTTATCCAATACCCATCCAGTTCCCTGGAAAGTGAAACTGTTAGAACAGCACTGTTTTCTTTAATATTTTTTGTTCTAGATTTCAGGAAGTTTATGGTCTTGAACTACAGGGAAACGTATAGACGTGTAAGTATATTTCATTAGTATGGAGTGAACACCCTGGGATTACTAGTGTGATGAGTTGGGTCACAGAAATGCCCTTGGGACTGCCACCTGATGTGCTGAGACTACCTCTGAGCCCATTTTCCCTGGCAGCTTGGGACTTCAGTAACCTGTCTTGTTGAGCCTAGCCTGCTACAAACACAGATCTAGGTCTGAACCACGTCCCCCATAAGTTGCAGACTTAACTGAAAACAGCTTAAGAAGTGCTCCTGTCTCTACCACCCAGACACCCAGTTCCCAATGGGATCCAAACCCCAAATAAATCCATTTTACTCTGTATAAAGCTTATACAGGGTAAACTCATAAATTGTTTGCCCTCTATAGATAGAGAGATATGCACAGCTGTTTGCTCCCCCAGGTATTAGTCACTAACCCCGGGTTCAATAATAAGCAAAAAGTGACTGAAGTATAAAAGGTAGGATTTAAGTGGTTCCAAGTAATAACAGTCAGAACAAAGTAAATTACCAAGCAAAATAAAACAAAAACACGCAAGTCTAAGCTTAATACAGTAGGAAACTAAATGCAGGTAAATATCACCCTCAGAGATGTTCCAATAAGCTTCTTTCACAGACTAGACTCCTTCCTAGTCTGGGTCCAGCAATCACTCACAGCCCTGTAGTTACTGTCCTTTGTTCCAGTTTCTTTCAGGCATCTCTTTGGGGTGGAGAGGCTATCTTTTGAGCCAGCTGAAGATAAAATGGAGGGGTTTCCAGGGTCTTTTATATTTTCTCTCTTATGGGCAGAAACCCCTTTGTTCTCCTGTTCAGAATCACAGCAACAAGATGGAGTCTGTAGCCACCTGGACAAGCCACATGTCTGAATGATTCAGCGTTTTGCAGGCTGACACCATTGTTTACATGTTAGTTTGAACGTTCCCAGGAAAGCTCAGATGTGGATTGGCGTCTCCCAAAGTCCACTGTCAGTTAAGTATTTCTTGATGGGGCACTTCCTGAGAATAGTCCTTTCTCAAGAAGTTGACCAAATGCTTCACTGAGACTACTTAGAATCAAACAAATACATAGCCAATATTCATAACTTCAAATACAAAAATGATACACACATACAGACAGTATAATCATAAAAGCAAACTACAACCTTTCCATAGACACCCCACTTAGCCTCCTCTGTACAAGAAATGGCGCAACCATAGGACCCTGGTTGCAACAATGATCTATACGGTCAGAGTTTATGTCAATAATGTCACAACTAGGTCAATCAGGAGATTTGGTAGACATGGCCAAATAAATAACTGCTGTGGTGACAGAACAAAGAATTAAGTCTGAGAACTGCAATGGCTGATTTGCACTACATAGGAGAGTTAGGGTTTTTTTGTTTTTAAATTACCCCAAAAGTGATTGCCTCCAACTGGGATAGTTTTCTCACAGTGCATGTTTACACAGGCTATGACCAATTATTTTTTAAAACAGTTTCCCCTGCGAACACACACACCACGACTCTCTTTCTCACTGACATACTACAGAAATAAGAGATTATACAAAGTCGTGGCCATTATACAGCACTGAGATCATATATCCTCTAAACTACTCTGATCTTTAATAAAATAAGTTGGGTAGCCAGCATTATTGTTATAAAACACTATGATTTTTTTTTTATCTTGAAACTGTCCCTTCAGAATTCTCTATGCAATGATAATCTGCCTTTATTAGTGTATACATCTATAGTAGATGATGACACTTGCGATGTAACAAAATGTGATGTACAGTGACTGAACTGAATCGGAGACAGGTAATGGGATACAAAACTTCTTCCTTTTACAAAACCAGTTCATAGTGGCCATTCTGTAGTAACTTAAATTAGTTACTGATAGAGTCCTGGCACCTTTGGCAGTCTCAGAAGATTCACTATGAAGAATGTGCACTAATCTATCACTTCCAGAGGCAGCATTTCTTGAAAGGAGTTGAGACATACTAACAGAGTGCAAATAAGCAGAGTGCACGGGCCTGGTGATGGCATTAGTTCCAAGGGTAGAAGTCCTAAGTATCCAAAGTTGTCAATCTTTCATGAGCACTTTTCTTGTGTAATGTATTGATCCAAGAGCAGGTGGCCATAGAAGAAAACAATTTGTAGAAATTCCCTCTACAAAGCCAAACTGAACTAATTTGTAGTGTAGGATAAATATGAAATTAAAGAATTTTAAATTAGCTTAAGTTTGGTTAAGAAAATATACGTGTTGTAAAGACAGGCCCTGACTAGCAAGTAGAAGGAAGGCCTTGAAAATAATGAGTTATAAGGCCAGAAGGAATGAAGTAGGGAGGATGTCTCGTTCAAAGAATACCTAATATGATACAGGGAAGTTTCTAAAAAGGAGGACTCTGACCAACAGGTGTGACTTCACATGGTATTAAATAAGACAAAAGGAATCTGTCTTAAAAGGAGCCAACATAAACCTTCCCACCCCACATACCAGTGTTATCTTAAAAGTAAAGCCTATGTGGACCCAGCTGCAATGGAAAATCTGTTGGTCAGCAAGGAGGAGGAGAGGAAAGGCCTTGGGAATAAAATCTTATTTGGATTAAGACTGGAATGAAGGGTGAATTGTCTCAAATTGTTTTTTAGATGAAGTCAATAATTGGCAATGACATCATTTTGTTTGTTAAAGGGTATAAAAAGAGTTGTGTGTGATGGGTTGGAACCCTTGGGAAACCACCTGATATGCTAAGATACCACTGAGTCTACCTGTTCTGCCAGTATAGGTCCCCTTAAACCTGTCTTGCTGAGCCAGGCTCTTAAAACCTCCTCTAACACACACAGGCAGGGCTACACCTACCTGCAGATCAGCCCTGGGAAGACTCAGCTTAAGGTACTTGCTCCAGCACTCAGATGTCCACCTTCCTTGGAGTGCAGACCAAAGGTCTATTATGAAATTCGCCCCTTCCCTCAATGTGGAGATAAGTGTGCACACTTCTTCCCCACCCCAGTTAGAAATTACAGAAACTAGGTTTAATAATAAACAAAATACATTTTATTAACTATAAAAGGCAGATTTTAAGTGGTAAAAGGGGAAAACAAACAGAACAAAGCAGATTACTGAGCAAATGAAATCAAACACGCAAATTAAGCTAGTTTCACTGAAGAAATTGGTTACAGATAGTATTTCTCACCCTAGCTATTGTTGCAGGCAGCTTGCAAAGTTTCTGTGGTTCAGAGTTCCAGTTATATTCCTTTTCAGACTGGACCTCTGTCTCAGTCTGGACTCCCTCCCTTGCCTTCCCTTTTGCAGTCTTTCTTCTTGGGCAGACAGGCCAGGGAGAGGAGGAGTCCTGTTTGCCTTTCTCCCCACCCTTAAATAGGATTTACATAAGGCGAGAATCCTTTGTTTCCTAAACTTGACCCCCCTTCCCTTACACTGGAAAGTTACAAGAAGTCCCAGGTAATGTTTAGTACCAGGTGACAAGACCACCTGACCCTATAGTACAGTAGCACTATGGAGTATCCACAGGAAGGCCAAGCTTTTCACAGCTCATTGTCCTCGCTGATGGGCCATCCGCCCTGTCTGGCTTTTCCATTGTTGTACCTGAAGTGTTAGCAGTGGGCATCATCCAAAGTAGCATAGTTGAAATACACATACATAGTCAATATTCCTAACTTCAGATACAGAAATGATACAGGTTTACTGAATGTGATTATCTAATTTGTATATCATAACCTTTCTAATGATATCTCACGAGCCATCTGGCATAGAGTATAGCTCAGTTATGTCATATTCATATCATAAGCATATTTTCATAAAGAATATGGAATGACACGTCACATTATGAATCTGAGGTTTCTTTGTCAGACCCTACCTGATCATGTTGGAGCACACCACAATGAGATGGTTTTCCCTTGGTCAAGCCTATTTAGTAAGTATACTGATCACATGCTTATGAATACTTTGTTATTGTAAAAGAAAAGGAGTACTTGTGGCACCTTAGAGACTAACCAATTTATTTGAGCATAAGCTTCCGTGAGCTACCGATGAAGTGAACTGTAGCTCACGAAAGCTTATGCTCAAATAAATTGGTTAGTCTCTAAGGTGCCACAAGTACTCCTTTTCTTTTGCGAATACAGACTAACACGGCTACTACTCTGAAATTTGTTATTGTACTGGTTAAACTGACTGCTTATTTTTAAGCTGTTAGGCACGTTTAGAGCAATGCTATAAAATACCATTTGGCCTTTGGACTTCAAAAAAGGAGGTTTTGGTAAAATGAGTGTCTTATGGTCTCCCATAATATTAATAATTTCTAATATTATTAATAATTCCAACATCTAGCAAATAAATACACAAACCCATTTCTCTCACATCTACAACCAATTGGCATTCTTATTGTACATAATAAAATAGTATACACCGTACCAGAATTTTTTCAGTATTGAGAGAAAGCAGAGATTCACAGGATGAAGACCCTCTTAGTTCACAGTCTGACTCATGGAAATGCAAAAGTGGTGAATCTGCAAAAACAAATATTTGAATTATCTCTGGATAGTCTACTTGAACTGTTATACTTAAGCAGGGTATAAATGTACAAGATCATGCAAATGCCATGTTTCCTAATGCCAACCCCACCTTTTAAAAATTCCTCTACAGGGCAGTCCCATAAAGTAGGACTGTTGATATGTTCCATACATCATGTTTGGTCCAGAGGTGATGACAAGAAGTGCAATAGCTGACATGAACCTTATTATACAGTTAGTTTCACTACTATTTCTGCCTATGGAGCTGACCAAAATTTGTGTGCAAGAGTAGTAGCACAGAAAAGCTATATGGGAAGAAAACCAGGAGGAGATGAGGGAGAGAAGGAAAAAAAAACTTAAGGAGAAAGAAGTGTGAAAGTGATTGGGGAAAACAGTGTATGTCAGTTTGAGACTATTTGGTCCCTCATTCCTTGAGCCAGCACATTTAGGTCCTAGGGAGAACCACTGGATGGGTCTATGTCCAGCCTTCAGATAGAGGAAAGGTGGCTGGTATGCTGGCCAGCAAAGAGTGGGGTGAAGACTGGAAAGGGATAGATGAGAAAGATTAAGGAGACAAAAGTAGAAAGAATGGTAAAAATAAGGGATGGGACACAAACACATGAAAAAGCAGTAGTTAACATGTTACAGTGAAAGGCACTATAGAAAGTCTAACATGAATAGAAATCCAAAAATGGGATACACCCAGAAAGAGTATGTAAATGGGGTGGGGAAGTGGGGGAGAGCAAAGGGAAGAAAAAAATAATACATTGCTTAATTGAAGAAATCAAAATAGAATCTCAGGCATTACAGAGTTTAATGACTACAGATACAAGAAACTCTGAAATAAAAAATCTTCTTCACCAGTGTCATAAATATAAAGGGAAGGGTAAACACCGTTAAAATCCCTCCTGGCCAGAGGAAAAACCCTTTCACGTGTAAAGGGTTAAGAAGCTAGGATAACCTCGCTGGCACCTGACCAAAATGACCAATGAGGAGACAAGATACTTTCAAAAGCTGGAGGGAGGGAGAAACAAAGTCTTTCTCTGTCTGTCTCTGTGATGCTTTTGCCGGGTACAGAACAGGAATGGAGTCTTAGAATTTAGTAAGTAATCTAGCTAGATATGCGTCAGATTCTGTTTCTTTAAATGGCTGAGAAAATAAGCTGTGCTGAATGGAATGTAGATTCCTGTTTTTGTGTCTTTTTGTAACTTAAGGTTTTGCCTAGAGGGATTCTCTATGTTTTAAATCTAATTACCCTGTAAGGTATTTACCATCCTGATTTTACAGAGGTGATTCTTTTACTTTTTCTATTAAAATTCTTCTTTTAAGAACCTGATTGCTTTTTCATTGTTCTTAAGATCCAAGGGTTTGGGTCTGTGTTCACCTATGCAAATTGGTGAGGATTTTTATCAAGCCTTTCCCAGGAAAGGGGGTGTAGGGTTTGGGAGGATTTTAGGGGGAAAGACGTTTCCAAGCGGGCTCTTTCCCAGTTATATATCTGTTATACGCTTGGTGGTGGCAGCAATAAAGTCCAAGGGAAAAAGGAAAATAGTTTGGACCTTGGGGAAGTTTTAACCTAAGTTGGTAAAAATAAGCTTAGGAGGTTTTCATGCAGGTCCCCACATCTGTACCCTAGAGTTCCGAGTGGGGAAGGAAACTTGACAACCAGTTTGAAATATTGAAGAAGGCAAAAGACTTCTACCACATCTGCAAGAAGCAAAATTAATCCTTTGCTTATCTACTGCAAATAGCAATGATTTAAAAAACATTTAACAGTGGAAATGCAAAAAACTCTATACGAGCCTTCTTGATTCAATTGTTAAGCTGTTGCTCCTCCACTTTACTATTGTAGGAAACATCTTACTTGTGTGTCCGTATTATAAAACGGAAACAAAAATGGTATAACCAGATAATTCTCTGCTCTTTGCACTTACTGACACTGAATTTAAAAAAAAAAAAGATTGACAGAACAAAAAGCAACACAATCTATTTATAAAATACAAGTTGGAACAGCAACTAAAAATTAGTCACTGCAAGTAGAAAATGAAGTTATAGTTCTAAATGAACCACAAAAGGGATGATTCTCATAACAAGAATTATATTAAAAAAGAAAAGGAATACTTGTGGCACCTTAGAGACTAACCAATTTATTTGAGCATAAGCTTTCGTGAGCTACAGCTCACTTCATTGGATGCATACTGTGGAAAGTATAAAAGATCTTTTTATACACACAAAGCATGAAAAAATGGGTGTTTACCACTACAAAAAATGGGTGTTTACCACTTCTCTCCGCCCACCCCACTCTCCTGCTGGTAATAGCAGAACCACTAACCACAACAGAACCAATAACCCAGGAACCTATCCTTGCAACAAAGCCTGTTGCCAACTGTGCCCACATATCTATTCAGGGGACACCATCAAAGGGCCTAATAACATCAGCCACACTATCAGAGGCTCGTTCACCTGCACATCCACCAATGTGATACATGTCATCATGTGCCAGCAATGCCCCTCTGCCATGTACATTGGTCAAACTGGACAGTCTCTACGTAAAAGAATAAATGGACACAAATCAGATGTCAAGAATTATAACATTCATAAACCAGTCAGAGAACACTTCAATCTCTCTGGTCACGCGATTAGACATGAAAGTTGCAATATTGCAACAAAAAAACTTCAAAACCAGACTCCAGCGAGAGACTGTTGAATTGGAATTCATTTGCAAATTGGATACAATTAACTTAGGCTTGAATAGAGACTGGGAGTGGCTAAGTCATTATGCAAGGTAACCTATTTCCCCTTGTTTTTTCCTAACCACTCCCCCCCGCCTCAGAAGTTCTTGTTAAACCCTGGATTTGTACTGGAAATGGCCCACCTTGATTATCATACACATTGTAAGGAGAGTGATCACTTTAGATAAGCTATTATCAGCAGGAGAGTGGGGTGGGGGGAGAGAAAACCTTTTGTACTGGTAAACACCCATTTTTTCATGCTTTGTGTGTATAAAAAGATCTTCTGTCCTTTCCACAGTATGCATCCGATGAAATGAGCTGTAGCTCACGAAAGCTTATGCTCAAATAAATTGGTTAGTCTCTAAGGTGCCACAAGTACTCCTTTTCTTTTTGCGAATACAGACTAACATGGCTGTTACTCTGAAACCAGGAATTATACTGTTTGAGGAGTCCAAGATTCACAGATTTTAAGACCAGAAGGGACTACAGCGATCACCTAGTGTGACCTTCTCCCTAATGCATGCTATAAAGTTTCATCTGGTAATTCCTGCAACATGCCCAATCTGCATAAAGAATCAAGGTGGAGGGGTGGGGTGCCGTGCCATTACATCAGAAGTATTTATTATGCCAGCGAGCTACAATTCAACTACTTGTCATTTAGTGATTAAGTTATTTGCGTAAGGATACAACAGTAGTTCTCAAACCTTTGTACTGGTGACCCCTTTCACATAGCAAGCCTCTGAGTGAGACCCCCTTTATAAATTAAAAATACTTTTTTATATATTTAACACCATTATAAATGCTGGATGCAAAGCGGGGTTTGGGGTGGAGGCTGAAAGCTCGTGACCACACCATGTAATAACTTTGTGACCCCCAGTTTGAGAACCCCTAGGATACAAGGGGAAAAAATAGAATGGACTATCTGTTACAAACCACAGGATAGAGAGGACATTTAAAAAAAAATCCTGGACCAATTTACAAGATTCTCAAAACTCTAACATTACTGTACTCACAGAGGAATTTCACTACCCATACATCTATAGGTTAATAAATACAGTCAAACTTGCATCAAATTGTTTCCTTGGTTACTAAGAAGACAACTTTACGAACCATAAAGTAGAGAATCCAACCAGAGGAGAAGCCATCCTGGATCTACAATATAGACAGGAACTGACTGAGAGCATGACAGCAGTAGGGAAGTTTGAGGCAACCAGATCCTCTCAGCCAAAAGGGCAGTTTTTTCAATAATTGATTCATTTAACCACAACTGAAAGATTTCTAAACAGCTGAGAATGGATTGATGTGCCACTGGTTTTAAAACTAGCATGGATATTGTTTCATAGTTAAATCAATAAGGAGTCGCTGTATGATGAATGCAGTCATAAGGAAGAAAAACTTTCAACTTAATGTTAATGTACCTGATATTATTAGTTCAACTAATCATGAACTACCATTTTACATGTTTTATTTTGCACAGCATCTTTCATACAAGCTGTATCCCAATCAGTACATCGAAATTTTTGTCTTCCAAACATCTCTCCATTGGAGAATTCTAACTCAGCCTGTCATATAAGTACCTATTTCATTATAAACATAAGAAACAGCAAGCCACTGATAAGCGACCTTATATTTATTAGGATCCAACCTGTAAACATACAAAAGTACCGACCTGTCTCGCCTGCAGGCTACATAGAACAAACAAACAGTGCTAAGAATTTTGTGTTTTATACTCTTCGAAGCAGGGACCAATTTTGTACTGTGTTTTTACAGCACCTAGCAAAATGGGGATGTGGTCCCTGACTAAGGGTCCTAGATGCTACAGTAATACAAACATCTAATCGTTTCCATTTGCTATAAGGTGGATGCTTTACAAAAACAATTTAAAGGGCAGCAGTCTTAAGAGCATATCCAAATATATATATTTACACATACGGACAAAAATATTTATTTCACAAGTCTTTGCTAAACTTGTTTTAAACTTCTCTAAACAACCTTATCACAAACCAACAACACTGGAAACTATGGAAGTCACAAGCTAGAGTTACATAAATAAATCTGGCAGTTTCTCTATTACATTGGATTTTGTTTTTTCTATTTTTCATATTGCTATATTCATTTGGTTTTGTTTACATGTATTGCCTGTAAGTGATGCATTATATCTAAGTCAGAAAGGATGAACAAATAGACGCTTATGATCAAATGTTATATTGAATGTCCTACAAAAACTTAAGTGTATGCAGAACTTTAGTCCCACTGATGGCTTCTCATGTGATTAATGTTATGCACATGCTTAAACCTTTGCAAAATTAGGGTCTAAATTAAGCAGATTCTTTATTAACAAACAAAACAAACAGACCCAGTGAAACAATTATTAACTTTACCAGCAAGACAACTTTTTTTTTAAACTGAATCCTATTCAACACACTAAAGAATAAGGAGCTGGCAAGTCTCCATACCACCAAATACACAATTCAGGCTTGCACAGGCTCTGTATTTGCACACTGCAAACCTGCCAGCTCTCTTTTCATTCATTTTGGATTAGAACCAACAACATCAGGCAAGAGGACTCGCACTTTCTGTCGGCCTTCTGAAAACTGAAAACTTTTTTCTTCGTGTAAGCTTATTGCAACAGACAAAGTCATGATTTGGTATCATCATTGATTATTTTTAATGTACGATACAACTCTAAAGTGTTCGCTGGGAATACAGTTTATACAAAAGATGCTGTAACAATAAGTTACGTTGCACATTTAAATCTTGATTATCTGAAGCTCAGTTATCCAAGAAAACAGGGCTGTATCAACAGCATTTCTTAAAATTAAAGGGCCAGAGCCTACACATTTCTTCATGCTCATGGAGTTATGCCCAAACAAAGCAGCTGAGAGGATCTGAGCCAAAGTTCTAAAATTGATCAGTGTCCCTATGACAAGAGAAGAACCTGTGCTTTGTTTTTCCTGTTTTACTTTCAGTCACCTCCAGGGTCATCCTAGCCCCACAAAGCACAGAAAAGAAGTGAATTTTCACTAGAAATGCATTTATCACTCACAACCCTTCCTTGTGCAACATACAGTCAAAGAAGAGGAGAAGTCCACATCATCCCACTGCCTTCAGGTGACAGGTACCTAACACAAGTATTTACCGTCCACCTCTCACCTCATACGCTTGCCAGGCTCATGGCACGGCGGACACAGGGGTATGGCAGGGAGGCCAGCGCTGGCCAAGCAAAACAGGGCAAACCCACCACTCGTAAGCTAGGTGACTACAGGGGTAAGTAAGCCCCTTCCAGGGCTGGAAGAAAGGACCCCGGGGGCAGAGAGCAGCAAAGAATGACTGACAGCCACCGCCTCACAAGAGGCGTGGACAAGGAAGGACACGCTGCGCGTGCACTCACACTTGAGCACATGCCGCGCGCCTCCCCCTGCCACGGCCAACAACACGCCACGCGCCTCCCACGCGCACTCACTCCAGGTGACACGTCACCCTCACATAGAGGGGTCCTGGGACAAGAGGGAACCCCTCCCAGGAGGGATAGCTCAGTGGTTTGAGCATTGGCCTGCTAAACCCAGGGTGGTGAGTTCAATCCTTGAGGGGGCCATTTCGGGATCTGGGGCAAAAATGTCTTGGATGAGTTAATTGGGGATTGGTCCTGCTTTGAGCAGGGGGTTGGACGAGATGACCTCCTGAGGTCCCTTCCAACCCTGAGAGTCTGTGAACTCCTTGCCGCCTGCCTGGGGCGCCCCCTCCGCGGGTCCTTGCCCGGCGGCTCCCCCAGCAGGCAGCGGGGCAGGACGTGGCGCTGCCGGACCCGACTTACCGCACTCGGCCGAGTATTGTTCGCCCCAGTCCGGCGCCTGGGGGCAGCCCCCAGCCTGGCCCTGCCGCTGCTGCCGGTGCCGCTCCTGCTTGAGCAACGACAGGGCCGGGTACTGCTCGCTCAGGTCCAGCGCCGCCCCCAGCAGCACGAGCAGCCCCAGCGCAACGGTGCCCCAGCAACAGCGGCAGCAGGTCCCGCTGGCAGATGCCATCGTCTCAGCGCGCGTGCGCCTCCCGCCCTTGCATGTCCAAGGTGGTGCCTTGCTGCCGCGCCCCCCGCAGCGACAGGTGGGGGGGGGGGGAGGGAAACTGCGGCCTCGCTCCCTTATGGGACTTGTAGTTTCCGGTCGTTGCGCCCCTTGAGCGAGCACAGTCTGAAAACTACAGCTCCCATGATGCCCTGCGCGGCGCCTTTCCTCCCCATTAGCCTGACCTGGGAAGCGAGGCAATTGGAAGCGGACGGTTCCTCCTGCAACGGGCCCTCGCCAGCGATGGGGGAGCCCGGCGGCGGCGGCGGCTACAAGTGCGTCGAGTGCAGCCAGGAGGCTCCTGAGCTCTACAGGGACTATCAACGCGGGGTGCTGCGCATCGCCATCTGCGTGAGTGGGCCGGGCCGGGGGGCGGGCCGGGGGGTGGGGGTCGCCCGGGCCCGGGCCCTGTCTCGGTTCGGGGGCTAGGCGTCCGGCCCCCTGAGCGCTCTCCGGGACGGGTATTTTAGCGACCGGCCCCTTTGCTTTTGCATTGTACGTACAAACACGCACCCTTTCGCCGCGTCCGCAGCACGGGCAGCCTTCCAGCTCCCCCGGGGCAGCCCCTGTGGGAGCGGCGCTGTGGCCGGGATCCCCCCGGCTGAGTAACCCGGCACCGGCGCTCTGTCCCTTGTCCTCCTCTCTTCCCCCTGCCCCCTTACTAAATACAGGTTGCTCCAGGAGGTCGTGCAGTGTGGTTATTCTTGGTCCCGCATCTCTTTAATCTCTCATTCCCACAAACCCACCAAATCCCCTCAGTCTAAATTGTGTTTTGTTTTCTGTCTAGTTCCTCTTCGTCCTCCTGCAATCCCCTCCAGCCCCCAATAGGCAGGCCCTGTGTTTTGGAGTGGATCTTTCCTCTTCCCCTCAGCTTGGTGGCCAGTCAGTTTTAGTAACAGGTGTTTTCGAAGAGCAGATTCTAATAGATTGGGTCCTAAGTGCTGGCTGGCTGTGCCTAGTTCAGGGTATTCTCATGCCACCAGACCTCACAGTCTCATACTAAAGTCAGGACTATCTTGCGAAGTGGGCCCATCCCTCACGTCTGGGTTTCATGTGTTTCAAAACCTAGACCTGAAGGTTACTCAGTAGTGCCTTGAATGAGATTGGGAGGCAGCCTGCCTCAGTACCAGGGTTAGAATGGTGGTCACTTTTATGTGCATTTGAGAACTGTTATAATTACTACTTCATATCCCAGTCTTTAATGTCTGCATTAGAGGCCGTACATACCAAGCAGTACCTATTTGAGGAGTATTTCTTTTTTTACTATTATGAATATTCAACCTTTTTTCTTGGCAATTTGCCTCCAAAACTCCTCACTTTGTCCAGTGCATTTCATTGGCATTAAAAGGCTTACTCAGATGTTCCCAAATGTTCTTAATGACTTCATAGTTAAAGTTGAAATATCCTTTCTGTTTTAAGGACTGTTTTAGACCTTTCCTTATTTATAGCTTTCAGTTTTTGGTAGTACTTACCTGTGTTCTTGTTGCCAATGGTTTGTTTATGGGTATTTCTAGTAGTGGGTGAAAAATAGGGTCACTTACAGAATTGTATGAAAGACTTTGATTTTGATTTTTGGTTTTGAAATGGAAGTACCTGGAAGTGTGCCTCAATTACCCCTTGTTTTTCATCCATGTTTATGTTATGTCCCAGTACAGCCCCTGAACTTGTCTGTTCCTTGCAAATCAGAAAAAATTGCTGGTGGCACATTCTGTAGAAAAATGTTTATGCTAAAAAATTACCCTTGTTGGAATTTCATTGTTATTACTGGGTATATAGCTCATATATTTTTGCATGATATTTGGGCTCTTGGCAACTTGAGGAGAAATAAAGCAATGTAACTTGCCACCTGCCAACCCCTAAATTTGTAACTAAACTCCAAATGATGGGCACACAACACAAAATAGTTGAGCAGGGAATTTGGACAAAATGTACAATAACTTTAAGTGTTCTGTCACTTCAGTTTTATGCTTGGCAATTTCTGATATTAATAGTAAACAGCATATACAGTAAACACCTGTTTTGTGAAGGTCTTCGATTAGTTCTGGGTTTTAAAAAGTAGTGGTTAACATAAGCTGAGATAGAACAGAGAGAGAGCCTCTTTCTTGACCTAGAAGAGGCTGAACGCTAGGCAGAGATAAATTATTTATTATGATGGAGAAAGTTGACATTCCCATCCTCTTCTTCTCCCACTAGAGCAATCAATTAATGATCAAACAGCTGCAAGCATGCTCAGAATCTCTCCAGACTCATTAGAAATGTGCACAGTTCAGTAGATCTCTCAGAGCAAAGACAAGGCATTATAACTGAGATTTCTGCAGGTCTTAAAAATGCACATTGCAATGACAGATTGACATTTCCCTTCCCTCCCTTGGTTTTAGTGTTTCCTAAAGATGGTCAGACTGTGGATTTGCCTGATCTTACATTGCAGAAGTTGAAACCTGCACCCAGAAGTATCCTTATTCATTGTAAATCAGTTTGATGGATTGGTGATTGCTGTATCCAGATGCGAAAAGTTCAATCAAGTGCCTGGTGGCCTCTCTGTGCATCAGGACCCAGGATACAAGGTGTTAGATAATCTCTGCAAAGCAGGGCAAGGTCTCTGCAATATGCCTTTTTCACTGATCCCGAGAATCATGCAAAAGATGGCATGGAGAAAGCCGCAGTGATTCTGTTTATGCTAGAAGAGTCTATTTCTCTGTTGCCTGATTAACATAGATTTGGACCAGCCAATGTGTCTACCTCACAGAGAATGTCAGCTGTTGCCAAAACTTATCCTCCATCCCACACCAAATAGGTTCAAAATGGATACTTGGATGAGGTAAATATCACATTTACAGAGCCTGGAAAGTAGTCAACAAATAGAACTTGTTCTACAGACCGAAGCAAAGTCAATGGTTTAATTACCACATTAACCAAATGCAACATAGCTTTGAATTCCTCCAGCAAGGGTTTAATGTTGGTGTATGAGATTGTCCAAGCAAAAGATCAAGTGTCTGTGTTGTAAGGTCTCAGCATGTTCAAAAAGAGGAAGTTTTATCAAACCCGGACATGCTTCCTTAAGGCAACTACCCTATTTCTAGCCCCAAAAGGCTATACAGCACAACCTTAGAATTTCATTCTGGTCCTAAAAGAATTGACTTGAATCCCTATGGCAGGTGTCATTATACTTTCTATCTATTAAAGCAGGTTTTATAATAATTATCTCTCATCAAAGGAGCTTTTGAAGTTGGGAGCCTTCTTGGATGAGACCCACTATTGTATTGTTGTTCGGAGAGGTAGTCCTCACAACTGTCATAACATTTAGTCACAAAGTAAATTCAAGAAATAGTCTTCCTTCCATCAAGCATCATGGCTCACACTGTAAGAGCACAGTTAAGGACAAAGAAGTCGTGTCTCCACTAATGAGATCTACTGGCCATGTGACCATCCATAGATAAATGCACCAAATTCTACTGAAAAATGGCAATTGATAACCAATATGTAGAAGTCTTCTCTATACCTCATTGGCCCCAGTGAAGATAGAGGATATATGATTTCCTTTATCTTGGGTGTCCATAGTTAAAGGGTGATCCTGCTTCCCATCCTGGAGACATACTGCAAAGAAAGTAAAGGAAAGTTGTTAAGGTTTGACAATGCCCAAAAATTGAGAGAAAATTTCTGTTTTTGTAAACATACCTCTTTGGAAGGAAGGAAAGAAAAGGTAGGGAAACTCCTAGCCACATTTAAAAGGAGGGCTTCAGTGGGGTAAAAATCACAATCCTAGGTGGCACCGCATAAGCAATTCAAGGCACTTTTATGTAATTCAACCAGTCTCTCCCTCACACTTTAAAATAAAACAGCTGGATTAATTGAGCAATACACACACAATCTGCAGTTAGTTTTTATGCAGTTAAAATTTAATTGAAAAGCCATTTTTTTTAAGCAGCAAGGAGGAGAGAAAAAGCAGGAATGAGGGCTAAGTATTCATTTGGTGGAGCTGGGGCAAAGAAGCTGTCAGGAATCCAAAAGCAACACTGAAAATAAAAGAAAAGGAGGACTTGTGGCACCTTGGAGACTAACGAATTTATCTGAGCAAAAGCTTTCGTGAGCTACAGCTCACTTCACTGAATGCATCCGATGAAGTGAGCCGTACCTCATGAAAGCTTATGCTCAGATACATTTGTTAGTCTCTAAGGTGCCACAAATCCTCCTTTTCTTTTTGCGGACACAGACTAACACGGCTGCTACTCTGAAAACTGAAAATAAAATAGGTTGTGTTATCATTCTTATTTACGTAATTCAGCAGATTTATGTGGTAGTAGAAGTGTTTTTCTACAATTAGTCTGAGGGAGTTCATGCAAATCGGGCCTCTAGCAGGATAAAGGCAGAGGATTTAACTTCAATACAATCTAAGACTCAAATAGTCTAATTTAATAATAAGCAATTCCCTTTTTATAATGCATCTTATCTGTGCAAGATGGCTGAGGAAGGGTGATTAATTTACATACTTCAGCGGTTATTGCAGACTATTTAATTTGTCAAAACACCCAGCCATGGTTTTGTGATGTGACAAGTTTTTTGTTCCTGCTAATCCTCTTTCTGTTGTGTTCTATGTATAGCATGTGTTGGTAGTGACAGACTAGAATTCCTCATCATGATGCTACATTGGCTGTTTCATATGTTTTGTGTGTGTATATCGTTTCCAGAAGCTGCAAAGTAGAAAACCCACAGTTGTCATCAAAATTGCTATTTATTGGTGCATGTTCACAGCAGCCTTCTCACAGGAATCCCTGTTGGGATTTCTGGGTCCCCAGTCTGGGTAGGGTGGGATCGGATGGTATTTCTAAACTGCGTGCAAATCATTCACTAACACCATGCTGCCTGTATCCTTGACCCAGGCATTTGCTTAGTTGACCTTCTTCAGTGTAGAGTCTTTCTGCGTGTCCCCTTACTTTGGCTCTGTCATCCTTTTCTTCTTTGTTGGCTCCAAATAGAGAAGTCTCTCCTAGATTTCCACTTATGCATCCATGTTCTAAAGTTTTGTGCTTTTAATGCGAACCTGGGGG